ATCCTGCAAACGTTTGAAGAGGCAAGCTGTTTTACACACATGGATCATATGCAGAATCAGAAATGCCTCAAAGCTCCAAAATAAAAATATAGGGAAAAAAAAAAAAAAGTATCACCACATCAAGGCATAATCTTAATCTGAATGGCCTCTGTTAATTGAAGTTCTATGAGTCCTCTAGACATACCTGAATATATTTGTGCTCAATGCAAAATATTTAAAATGAAGAAATGAAAGTGCTGCTCAGTTATGAATCCTATAAGAGAAATTCTAGTTTATTTCTCAAAGGTAAATACGGTTTATGCCATTTAAATGGCATGGTGGCATTTCAATATACAAAAAATAGAACTTCACAGGGGAGTTGTATTATTTAGACAAGATAATACTATTTTACAAAAAAAGATAACGCAGAGTGCCACAACCACTTTAAAAAAAATACAGCACTAGTAGTTTATATCTGTATAGATTACATCTATATAATCTGGAGTAAATCCACTGATACAACAAGTAACAGAAGATTCTTAGCTCATTGCCTTTTTCCAACCTAACATCTACATTACCCTCTTTTTGATTTACAGGCAGTTCAGTAAAGTATCTGATCCCAGTATTCATTAATTTTCTTTACAATAAAACTGTAAAAAAGTCTGACAGATTAAACTAACATTGTGTCAGAGGATCCATGAGCATAGGGCAGTTTTGCATGTCAAATCTGAACTCAAAGTACAGTGAAGTTAAATATTTCATAATAATAAAGTAAGCAAATAAATTCCAACTTGCCATGTAAACACTGACACTCATGAACTAACAGCAGCACTTGATCACACTCTAGTCATATATTATTATCCTTTAGATCCTAATTCTGCAGTGAAACTGCCTTCAGCATGGTAGCCCAATCACACCTCCTTACATATTTCTGAATTAATTCTTTGGGATCTGGGACTTTAATCTTTCTCCTGGGCTGTAAAGCAGAAAACACACTGTTTGCACAGCATAAGCAGCAATAACTTTTTAGTCACAAACAAGTATAATTATGGACAGAACACGGTTAAACTACTCTAGTAGAAATCTTTCATAGAAAACAGCTAAATCTTAAAACTAGCAATAGCAGTCCCAGCCCACTACTTCCTCGGTAGTTGCAGACGGAGGGATGGGAACCGGGCGGGCTGAGGTACCCGATCCCACAAGATGCTGCGTGTCTCCAGTGAGATCCAGCATTCCCTCAACTCCAGTGAATGCTGGTTGGAGTTACAGATGTTCAACACATCACATAGGTCTATAAACTGTGACAGATTTTTGCCTATCACTTACTGAATACAAAAGACACTAAAATGTAATGAGGCAGGATAATTAAGACTGTGCACACTCTAGTACGGACCAAGGGCCATTTCTTGTCACACCCAGAAGGCCGTACCGTGTTACACCCTGCTTTTAATCTGAAATCTATGTATGGATCAATAGCATATTGCCCTAAAAAATACACTATGAGGGTTTTGGTTTTTTCCATGTTATACAACCATAATGACTTGAGAGGGGGAAAAAACTCTAACAAATGAAAACAAAGTAACCTACAAGCATAAAATGGAGACAAAATTTGACAGTGACAAAATCTATTTTGCTACCCATCCTTACAGTCCTCTACCTACATGGACAGCCAATAACCAGCAAATATTTTGTTCATGACAGTAAGACATTTCACAAAGGCTCTCAATGTTTCAGGAGGACACAAATTGAATTTTTAATAAAATGTTAGCCTCAAAGCAATTCAAAAGACTGCATTTTGAAAAGACAAAGAAAATGGTATCCAAGCAAAAGAGATTCTATAAAACTGCTACCCAAATAGCTAACAGAAAGCTTGAAACGTGACACAAAAGAAAGATGTGCAAAGTATCCTAACAGTGCAGTCATATTACAAGTCAGTACTTCAAGAGCAATGAATGAGATACAAATATTTACCCTAGGTAGCTAGACTGAAGAATGTAAACAGATTCCACAGATATAATATAATTTGTCAATATCTTTACTGCTGGAAATGGAAATGTTAACTCAGGCAGGTCACTGATCCTGAAAGAGGAGTATAATCAATTACATTTTTTACCTGTCAGTCATTCACATCATTGCCTTTCTTGCAGCTGACTGCTCCCCTGCCATCCATGTCTTATTTCAAGGCACTGAACAACTTTTTATATCCACTTTTACTCAATCTTTTTCACCGTTTCCCTACTGCCATCTCGGATTAACATTGCTTGTTCCAGAACTAGTCTGTTTTCTTCCCTTATTTTCACAGTATTGACTGTTTCCACTGTCTCCCATCTCAGAAAGGTGGCCTTTCTGGTCTCTGAAATGCCATCTTAAATCTCACTTCTTCTCAAGGTCCACAAATTTTAACCACCTCCTAAACAATAAAATCTGATCCAAAGTTCACTGAAGTCAGTGAGGGCCTTTCCATTAACTTCAATGGACTATGAATCAGGACCAGACTGCTGTCAGTAACTCAGGACTGAAACCTAGCAAAAGAAAAGACCAAAAGGATCTGTGTGGGTATCTTCGTTGTCAGTAACAGACTGCTCCTTGAACACAGTCATGGCAATACTATATCCTAGGTTAATACCATCTGTGAATATTTCCAGTATATTTTCTCCAGACCTTATGCAAAGGACTAAGGCCTTAATTTTATTACCTTTATCTGTACAAATTTGGAGTGATGCCGAAGACTCCTGACAGAGCTTGAATAAATAAGCATAGACCAGTCCCTTTACATACTATAAAATATCATTCTACAGCTAGCTAGGTAAACCAAGGAAAATTGTCATGCTCATGAACCAGGTTAGTAAATCATTACACAAATCCCCAGAGTTAAAATGGCTGTTTAGATAGAGTGATGGAGTATTTGGAAAGGACAGTGAAAAGTTTAAAGCCAGTATGTTTTAAATTCTCACTAGTGAGGACATGCAATGCTTTTCTTGCAAGGATCCTCTCTCTAATCCTATATTATTCATCTAAAGAGCAATTTGAAGAAAAAGCATTCCAGAAATAAAAAAATAACAATGTGACCCTACTTCATTCTTCCTGTCTTCATAAACATTTTGTTATTTATTCCTTCGTTATGTAATTCTCCCTGTCTCAGTTCTCTAATGTATATTTTTAATAAGGGGAAATTAAAATAAATTACTTTTGCCCACCCTTCCTTCTCCTACTGTTTAAGGTTTAATTTTTTCTAAGTGCCTTGGGTGTAAAGCCAGTGCCCTTCTGCAATCCTGCAGTGCTCCCACCAAGTGACATAGGGAAAACAGTTCTAACAGACAATTTGAGAGATCTAATGCAGTACAATTACTAGGATACGCAGCTACTATGTAGAGGACCCTGTTCATGTCATGGTAAAAACTGTCATTATCAGACAGCAAATATTGCCAATATAAAGCTAAAATATTACACGTTTATTAAAAGGTATGTTGTGATTTGAGGCTATTTCAGCAGTAGCTTGACAGTAACAACAATTCAAGTTTTCAAATCTTTACCCTATGTTGTACTAACCAGGTACTTTAGGGGAGGGGATAAAAGTAACACTGCCTATTACCACATAACTTTATGAAGTGTATCAGCAAACATAAAGCCAGTTAAATGACCTTCACTGAAGAGGTGCAGTTTTGAGTTTTTCTTTTTTTTTTTTAGTGGTTGTTTTTAAGATGTTTATGCTGACACTTTTATTATCATGAAGTACACTCCACCCTCACAGCTTCAGCTATGGGAGGCAAACACTTTATAGAAATGAAATTACTGTTGCCACAAGGTTGCTTATGACATTGTTTAATACAAAAAGGAGCCAGGACACAGTACATTGATAGGGGGTGGAGTGTATTGTATATACAGAAGAGGGGTATTACTTCTATTTCTGCCATCTGACATTGATGTGGGAAGAGTGGACAAAAACAAATGCATTTTCTTTCCAGTACTGAAACATGCAAAGACAAAATGCTTATTACAAGTTGTATGCAGCTCAGAATAATAATTAAAAAAAAAATAGCTCTAGAAATGCCCCAGTATACTTAATTTGTTATAGATTTTTAAAAATAAATATTTAATATTCTGATCTTTCACTTCAAAACTTAGAATTAAGTAATGAGTGAATAGGATCTGAAATACAGACAAGGCATTGCTCACATCACATTAAAAGGCATCTTTTAAATGCAGCTGTGGATTTCTAAACTTAGACTGAACAGGATTTTTAGTTGCTTGGAATCTGAAATGCAAGATGAACTCAGAATGCCATATTACATCTATTTTCTTTAAGTGGAATTGCAAATATGCAACAAATTGCTGTTTCAAAGAGGCAACATGCAGAATTCAAACCTATTTGTTTCTTGCAGGATTCTGTTGACCTGTGCGTGAAGAGGTATTGAAGCAGTGGTGCAGTGAGAATCACTACAGCGATACAAATCCACAGCTCAAGCATGAGATCCTAGAAGCCGGATCTCTGAGGAGCAACACTGAGTATACTTTCCCCAAAATACACCAGTTCCTTTAACCAATGAATTTAGTTTCAGGAAAACAGCAGCTCACCAACTTTTTTTTTTCTAAAAAGTAAAAAAAGGCAGGGATGGTGGGAGGAGGGAAGAGGTGGAAAGAGCTTATTATGCATTATGATGACATTTAGCAGAGAGCTGCAAACAGAAAGCAAAGACGACAAGTATTTTAAATGTTATAGATTTCAACCAGAAATGTGAAAGCATTTTCCCGTGTTAGTATCTTGCCAGAGTTGGCTGGGACAAAATTTGGGTTGCAGCTACAGGCTGAAGCAACAGTGTTGAAAGTCAAAACAAACAGGCATTTACCCCTTCCCCCCCAACCCTCCCCACCTTTCCCTCCCAGCTAGCAAAGTGTGACTGATGCTTTTGGTTGGCTGCAAGGCAGATATTAGCTAGAAACTCATTTAGCTAGATCCACATCCATGGCCCCAGATGTTTAAAACTTATCATGGATTAAAGCCATGAAATAAAAATTAAAAAAAATTTCAATTTGAAATTTTATTGGCATGTTGCTAGAATGGCCAACATCGATCAACAGGAGAGACTTTGTCCACATACTCTGAGAACAGCCTTCCTGCACCCCCCCCTCTTTTCTTCCTCTCTCACTTTTTCAGCATTAATGCTATTAAAAGCCAAACAAAATACTGGCTATGGGTGTAAAGAATGCTGGTTTTTTGGAATGTTGCCATGGATCCTGCTTCCAGTCGCGTCCCATGGAAAGAGGGTGCAGCCTCCTGTCTCTGTGGCAGGCTGGTCTCCCCAGGCAGGGCAGAAGGAAGATAGCCATGTACCCCTGCTACTCCCTATTCTTTCCCATCCACTATAGACAAATCTTTGATCACCCTCAGTTTGCCACTGGCATCGATCCTGCGCTTCTCGCGTATTAGATCCTCCAGGCTGTGGAACCTCACCGTGTGCACCTTGTTCTCCGCCAAGTGGATCTTGAGATAGTACTGCTGCTGGTGCTGGGTGCCGGCGCCAGCCTGCAGCTCCCCCCCGGCTTTGAACTCCCTTTTCCCGAAGCGGCACCAGGCGGCGAAGCTCTCGGAGTTAGTCCAGCAGATCTCGTCGCTTTTTAAGCCCAGGTGCCCGCAGGCGTTTTGCACCACCAGCTCAGCCACCAGCGGGCGAAAGCGGTACCAGCTATTCACCACCCGGCCCACGTTGCCCGCGGCCGCCTCGTACAAGCTGTCCTGCCGGATCTGCCCCTGGTGCAGGTGGATGATCTGCCCGCTGCCCACGT